TGCAGAGGTGCAATCTCTGCTCTCTGTAACCTCTGCCTCCTGGTTCAAGTGATACTCCCGCCTCTGCCTCCCCAGTAACTGGGATTACAGGTGTGTGCCACCATGCCTGGCTAATTTTTGTACTATTAGCAGAGACGGGGTTTCACCACATTGGCCAGTCTGGTCTTGAACTTCTGACCACAATCAATCTGCCCGCCTCAGCCGTCCAAAGTGCTGAGATTACGGGCGTGAGTCACTTCCACTAATTTTACATTATGGTGAGTTGTGTGGTTATTTCAATATACAATTACAGTATAATGATAATAGAAACAAAGTGTACAATAAATGTGATATGCTGGAATCGTCCCAAAACCATCCCCCATCCCTACTCGTCCATGGAAAATTTGTCTTCCACGAAACTGGTTTCTGGTGTCAAAAACGTTGGGATCGGCCGGGCACGGTGGCTCACGCTTATAATCCCAGTTCTTTGGGAGGCCGAGGCTGAGGCGGGTGGATCACCTGAGGTCAGAAGTTTGAGACCAGACTGACCAACATGGAGAAAACTCATCTCTACTAAAATACAAAATTAGCCTGGCATGGTGGCACATGCCTGTAATCCCAGCTACTCGGGAGGCTGAGGCAGGAGAATCACTTGAACCTGGGAGTCAGAGGTTGCCGTGAGCCAAGATATTGCACTCCAGCCTGGGAAACAAGAGCGAAACTCCGTTTCCACTCCCCTCTCCAAAAAAAAAAAGTTGGGGTTTGCTGCCTCAGGCCACCTTTCAGTGCTTCCATTTCCTCATTCATAATATGGGAATCATCTTAGTCCTGATTTCATAACCCCGTGCTCCTAAAAGTGTGATTACTGGGCTGGACGAGGTGGCCCAGGCTGGAGTGCAATGGCACGATCTCAGCTCGCTGTAACCTCTGCCTCCCACGTTCAAGCGATTCTCCTGCCTCAGCCTCTCGCGTAGCTGGGATTACAGACATGAGCTACCGCACCCAGCAGGAAATGCAGATTCTTATATATGTTCCATACCTGTTGAGTCCAGCACTCTCCAGGTGAGACACAAAGATCTGTGTTTTTTGGTTGTTTTTGACACAGAGTCTCACTCTGACACCCAGGCTGAAGTGCAGTGGCGCATCTCAGCTCACAGCAATCTCCACCTCCCAAGTTCAAGCAATTCTTGTGCCTCAGCCTCCCGAAGAGCTGAGACTACAGACACAAACATGAGCCACACACCTGGCTAATTTTTTGTATTTTTAGTAGAGATGGGGGCGGGTTCACCATGTTGGCTAGGCTGGTCTCGAACTCCTGACCTCAGGTCATTTGCCTGCCTCGGCCTCCCAAAGCTGGGAGGCACTGCACCCAGCCTGATCTCCATTTTAACAAGCCCACCTGAAGGTTCTGAAGCTCACTCACATTTGAGAACCATTGCATTGGGTTGTTGGGGGAATTAAAGACATTACACAGATATAAAATGCTTTGAGCATCTGGGCATGGTGGCTCACATCTGTGATCCCAGCACTTTGGGAGGCCGAGGCGGCCAGATCACCCGAGGTCAGGAGTTAGAGACCAGCCTGGCCAATATGATGAAACCCCATCTCTACTAAAAATACAAAAATTAACCAGGTGTGTGGTAGGTTCCTGTAATCCCAGCTACTTGGGAGGCTGAGGCAGGAGAACTGCTTGAACCTGGGATGCAGAGGTTGCAGTGAGCTGAGATCATGCCATTGGGACTGTACTCTAGCCTGGGTGACAGAGCGAGACTCTGTCTCAAAAACAAATAGGCCGGGTGCGGTAGCTCACACCTGGAATCCCAGTACTTAGGAGGCTGAGGCGGGCAGATCCAGAGGTCAGGAGTTCGAGACCAGCCTGGCCAGCATAGTGAAACCTCATGTCTACTAAAAATACAAAAAATTAGCTGGGTATGGTGGCGCACGCCTGTAATCCCAGCTACTGGGGAGGCTGAGACAGGAGAATTGCTTGAACCTGGGAGGCGGAGGTTGCAGTGAGCCGAGATTGTGCCATTGTACTTCAGCATGGGAGACAGAGCGAGACTCTGTCTCAAAAAAACAATAAATAAATAAATAAAATGCTCAGAGCAGTGTGCCTGGCCCCAGAGCACACATTCACTGTTGTTGTTGTTACCGTTACCTTTGAAGAGGTCCAGGATTCTAACGTTGCGGGTGTCTGCTTGCGTTGGGATTATACGTTTCTGGTCTCTGCAGAATCAAAGCCTTCTCGCCTCTCTGTCGATGATGATGACAACGAGCTGGGCCACGTCACCCTGTCCCTTGAGAAAGGTTATCACTTCGTTGGGGACATGAGAAAGGTCGGGTTGGGGGGGCCGTGCCTGTCTCCCCTCTGCTGGGAAAGATAAGGGAAGCACTCAGCTTTCTTCAGGCAGAGTTGGTGGGAGCCACGATGTATAAATGGGGGACCAGGAGGCAGCGGAGACACTGGCCCGCTCTCGAATCCAAGGCGTCTCTGTCCGGCATGGCCAGGTACAGGCTGCTGCTGCTCCTGGCGATGTGGGTGCTGACCGGGGAGCTGTGGCGGGGGGCCGAGGCCCGGGCAACGTCTTACGGAGTGAAGCTCTGCGGCCGAGAGTTCATCCGAGCAGTCATCTTCACCTGCGGGGGCTCCCGGTGGAGGCGATCGGACATCCTCGCCCGTGAAGCTATGGGTGAGGCTGGGGGAAAAGAGGATGGAGGTGGGGAACGGGCGCCTGGATGGGTCCAGGAGCTAAGGACAGAGATGAGAGGAGGTTGCTGGAGGAGGAGGGTCCCCGCCCGGCCACAACCAGCTAGGGACACCTGCCCAGCCTTGAAACAAGTGCTCAGGAGTTAGCAGAGCTGCAGAGCTGGGCTGGGAGGTTGCAAGCCATGCATGAGGGCCGTAAGTCGGAGGACGGTCTACTCCTTTCTGAGCACCTGCTATGCGCCAACCAAGCCCTGTGCAAAGCAAAGCTGCTGCTTGTATGGTCCAGAGGTGAGGGTGGGAGAGCGTCATTCACAAGGACAACACTCAAGTGTTTCCGAACCCTTTCCAGCAGGTCATGTGAAGCATGTGGTATACACATAGCCGGATTTTGCCACCTAATACGTGACCCTCCCCACAAGTTGGTTTTTCCTCCCATCTCCGAGTGTCTTTTTTTTTTTTTTTTTTTTGAGATGTGATCTCACTCTATTGCCCAGGCTGGAATGCAGTGGCCCAATCACTGCTCACTGTAGCCTCGACCTCTCAGGCTCAAGCAATCCTCCTGCCTCAGCCTCCAGAGTAGCGGAGACCACAGGCACCTGACACCACACCTGGATAGTTTTTAGATTTTTTTTTTGTAGAAACAGGGGTCTCAAGGTGGGGTGCAGTGACTCATACCTGTAATCCTAGCACTTTGGGAGGCTGAGGCGGGTGGATCACAAGGTGAAAAGATTGAGACCATCCTGGCCAACATGGTGAAACCTCGTCTCTACTAAAAATACAAAAATTAGCTGGGCATGGTGGCAGGCACCTGCCACTCAAGAGGCTGAGGCAGGAGAATCCTTTGAACCCAGGAGGCAGAGGTTGCAGTGAGCCGAGATCATGCCACTGCACTCCAGCCTGGTGACAGAGCAAGACTCTGTCTCAAAAAGAAAAAAAAAGAAACAGGGGGTCTCACTATGTTGCCTAGGCTGGTCTCGAACTCCTGGACTCAAGTGATCCTTCCACCTTGGCTTCCCTAAGTGCTGAGATTAGAGTCTCTGAGTGTATCTCTGAATGGGAAACACAGGTCCTGAACCTTGCAGGATTGAGTGGTATGACTAAGTCAGAGCAGATTAGGGCAGAGTCTAAGCAGGGCAGAGGCACAGTCTGGGAGGTATCAGGAGAGCTGAGAGAAGAGGAGACCTCGCTTCATGAGGGGCAGGAGACTGGCAAATCAACAGATATTCATGATGGTGAGAAGGAGGATGGGAAAGAGCGTGGACCTAGCAGACACACCACTTGGATTCAGATAGCTCTACAACATAACAGCTATGTGTTCGTGTGCAATTTCTTTTTTTTTTTCTTTTTTTTTTTTGAGGCAGAGTCTCACTCTATCACCCAGGCTGGAGTGCAGTGGTGCGATCTCAGCTCACTGTAACCTCCGTCTCCTGGGTTCAAGCGATTCTCGTGCCTCAGCCTCCCAAGTAGCTTGGATTACAGGCTTGTGCCACCACACCCCGATAATTTTTGTATTTTTAGTAGAGACAGTGTTTCACCATGTTGGCCAGGCTGGTCTCGAACTCCTGACCGCAGGTGATCCACTCACCTCAGCCTCCCAAAGTGCTGCAATTACAAGCATGAGCCACTGTACCTGGCCATGCAAATTCTTTACTAAGTCCTGCCTTTGTGGTCTCCTCTGGAAAATGGGGGCGATAAGAACTGCACCCACCTCATCTGGTTTCATTGAGAGGAATAAAGAAATTAACCTGCTAAAGCACTTAAAATGTTGTTTGACACAGTAATTTTTTTTTTTTTTTTAGACAGAGCCTTGCTCTGTTGCCCAGGCTGGAGTCCAGTGGTGTGATCACAGCTCACTGCAGCCTCACAGCCTCGACCTCTCGGGCTCAAGCAACTCTCCTGCCCCAGCCTCCTGAGTACCTGGGACTACAGGCTTGCGCCACCATGTCCAACTTTTTATTATTTGTAGAGACAGGGTAGTGCTGTGTTGTCCTGGCTGTTCTTGAACTCTTGGCTCTAGTGATTCTCCTGCCTGGGGCCCTGACGTGCTGGGATTACAAGTGTGAGCCACTGTGCCTGGCTTAAACAATCATTTTTGAGTGTTTGTCATGCCTCATTGTTCTAAGTTTTTTAAAAAATGGATATTAACTCATTTACTCCTTATAAAGCTTGAGAAGTTTGGAGTAATTATTTTTTTCCACTTTGCAGAAAAGAAAACTGAGGCTCCAAGAAGTAAATTCACTTCCTAACGATTATAGCTTGGAGAGGCTGGATTCATGCTCAGCCAGCCCAGCTGTCAAATGTACCAGGTCCTCAATTAATAAAGAGTAAGGGAGGCTGGGTGCAGTGGCTCACGCCTGTAATCCCAGCACTTTGGGAGGCTGAGGCAGGTGGATAACTTGAGGTCACGAGTTTGAGACCAGCCTGGCCAACATGGTGAACCCTGTCTCTACTAAAAATACAAAAATTAGCTGGGCCTGGTGGCAGATGCCTGTAATCCCACCTACTCAGGAGGCTGAGGCAGGAGAATCACTTCAACCCCAGGAGGTAGCGGTTGCAGTGGGCCTAGATCATGCCACTGCACTCCAGCCTGGGTGACAGAATAAGACTCCGTCTCAAAAAACAATACTACATAAATAAATGACAGGAGAGGAAAGTCACACTTAGTAAGGTTGAATAATCTGCCTATCCAGCCAGATTTTGCTTCCACCAGGACTGGGTGGAATCAAAACTCGGAACTATGTCTGTGAACTCTGTCTATGGTTCTGCCACAGATCAGAGCTAGACCAGGAGCTAGGTCTGTGGGTGTGGCGGCAGCTGAGCCCTGAGCACTCACTATGCATCTTTTGCAGGAGACAGCTTCCCGGATGCAGACGCTGATGGAGACCATCTGGCACACGAGCTGGATGAGGCTGTGGGGTCCAGCAAGTGGCTGACCCTGACCAAGTCCCCCCAGGCCTTTTACAGGATGCAACCCAGCTGGCAAGGAAGCCCCCGGGCTCTTCGGGGCAGCCGAGATGTCCTGGCTGGCCTTTCCAGCAGCTGCTGCAAGTGGGGCTGTAGCAAAAGTGAAATCAGCAGCCTCTGCTAGTTCGAGGGCTGGGCAGTCATGGGCGCCAGGACCAATGCCCCAGTCCTGCCATCCACTAGACCGGTTTCTGGCTGGGCACCTGCCTTTCCAGCCTCACACATTCATTCATTCATCTGCAAGTCACAGAGGCCAGGCACTATGGCCAGGCACAGACTCCCAACCCCACCTGCCCTTTGACCAGCCTGTCATGACCCTGTCCCCTGAGCAAGCTGTGCCCCTTATCCTGACCCCTGACCTCTCCCCAGCCCAAACCATGTGTTTGCCTGGCTTACACACTCCACTGCTACAACTGGGTCCCTACCCTACCTAGACGGGCCACAGGGAGACCCCTGTCCCCTGCCCAGTCCAAACTATGGCCGTTGTCCCCTGGCCAGCTCAAATTAAGCCTCTGTCTCAGTCCCGCCTTTGCACGTTTCTTTTCCTTGCCTTCCAGCCTCTTTCCCTCCAACTCCCTTGCCAGAGTTCCAAGGCCATGGACCCCAGTAAAGGTGGCATGTGGTCCCCCCAGGAGAGCTCTGGGCACATGAGAATCTTCCCAAATTCCAATAATAAAAATTTCAAGCCTTTGGCAGAGAGAGAGAGTGTGTGTGCGTGGGTGTGGGTGTGGGTGGGTGTTGAGCGTGGGAAAGATTTCACTGAGCGCGCGGTACATGGTTCCCTCCTCGGAGTCCCCCACCCCCAGACGCCTCAGGTCGCCTCTCCACTCCCCCTCAGTAGGCTCAGCCAGGGACTTTCCGTCGCGGGGAAGGGGCGGGGACCCGGAGCACAAGGTGCGGAGGCGGCCTGCAGGGGTGGCTCAGCTTCCCGTCGCCGCCTCCGGCGCTGTACCCAGAGCTGGGAGCCGAGCAACGCGGTCGCGCGGGCCCGGCAGGGCTAGGCCGGACTCGGGGCGCGCGGGGGGCGCCATGCGGGGAGGCAGAGGCGCCCCTTTCCGGCCATGGCCGCTGTCCAAGCTGGCGCTGCTGCCTCTGTTATGGGTGCTTTTCCAGCGGACGCGTCCCCAGGGTGAGTGCTGGAGGGAGCTCGTGTCCCGGGCGCAGCCGCTGCGCTCCCGCGAAGGCGCCGATGCTCCAGGGTGAGCCACGCCGTTTGCCGAGCGAGCAGCGGAGGTGCAGGCGACACTCTGCTCCTCCCGCGGTAGGGACCCTGCGACACTGGGGAATGGGCGGCAGCTCCGAACCGGAGCCCCAGGGCGGGGTGGGGGAGCTCTCTGAGTGGTTACAGGATGTGGCGAGCACGGGTAAAGGGGGGTTTTGCCTGGAGCCCAGGGAGGGGTACCTAGCGCCCCGCTTCCTGCTGGCTGCTCTTTTCCCTAAGCGCCCCCCGACCTTGCAACTGTCAGAAGTCCAAATTCTGGGGTATGCAGGCAGAAGGGGGGAATTCGATCCCCTTCCCTGAGACCCTCTGCCTCCCTCTCCAGGCAGCGCTGGGCCACTGCAGTGCCACGGAGTTGGGCCCTTCGGCGACTTGAACTGCTCATGGGAGCCTCTTGGGGACCTGGGAGCCCCCTCCAAGTTACACCTCCAGAGCCAAAAGTAGTGAGTACAGGGAGGCGATGTGGGGAAACTGAGGCTTTGGAGGTGGCCGCGCAGGTCCCAGGCTGCTTTCCAAGAGTCAAGGCTGGCCAACATGGTGAAACCTTGTCTATACTAAAAATGTACACACAAAAAATTAGCGGGGGTGGGGGGGGGAGGCCCCTATATCAGGATGCTGAGGCTGGAAAATCACTTCAACCCGAAAGGCAGAGATTGCAGTGAGCCAAGATCCCACACTGCACTCCAGCCTGGGGGACAGAGCAAGACTCTGCCTCAAAGAAAAAAGAAAGAAAAGTCACAGGAGTCTGCCCCCTCCCCCAATACTCTGAAGCCCTTCAATTCTAGTGTCCCTCCTCATTTCTTTTTTTCTTTTTGAGACGGAGTCTAGCTCTGTCACTTAGGCTGGAGAGCAATGGCGTGATCTGCGCTCACTGTAACCTCCACTCCCCCAGTTCAAACTGATTCTCCTGCCTCAGCCACTCATGGGACTACAGGTGCCCGCCACCAGGCCTGGTTAATTTTTTGTATTATTAGTAGAGACAGGGTTTCACCATGTTTGCCAAGCTAGTCTTGAACTCCTGACCTCCGGTGATCCATCCGCCTCAGCCTCCCAAAGTGCTGGGATTACAGGTGTGAGCCACCGCGCCCGGTCCTCATTTCTTCGCTGTGTCACCCTGGGCAAGTCACTTTCCCTATTTGAGTCTCCTTTTCATTTCTCTATTAAATGGCAATCACAGGGCCAGGTGAGGTGGCTCGAGCCTGACATCCCCGCATTTTGGGAGGCTGAGGTGGGAGGATCGTTTGAGCCCAGGAGCTCAAGAGTTCAGAGTTTTAGAGAGCCTGTCTCTTAAAAAAATAAAATACAATATAAATAAAGGGAAATAGGCCAGCCATGGTGGCTCACGCCTATAATCCCAGCACTTTGGGAGCCCGAGGTGGGCACATTACTTGAGGTCAGGAGTTCAAGACCAGCCTGGCCAACATCATGAAACCCCATCTCTACTAAAAATACAAAAATTAGCCAGCGTGTTGGTGCATGCTTGTAATCCCAGCCGCTCGGGAGGCTGAGGTGGGAAGATCACTTGAACCCAGGAGGCAGAGGTTGCAGTGAGCCAAGATGGTGCCACTGCACTTCAACCTGGATGACAGGCTGAGACTCTGTCTCAAAAAAATTAAAAAAGGGAAGTAATAATGGAACCTGCCTCTGAAGGTTGAGTCTGAGTATTCAAAGAGTTAGGTGCTTGGCAAGGAGAAAATGCTTCATAATGGGAAGCTGCTTTTTATTGCTGTGTGACATTAGGCAACTCACCTAACCTCTCTGAGCATGCGAAAAGATTATTCAGTGTGGTGCTGGGGATGCCACAATGAAAGGGATAAACAGAAAGCCCTGCCCTCATGGGGCCCACAGTCCGAGGACTGTGTTCCTTCATAATGAATCATACCTGGAAACTCATAATTTCTTTTTCTTTTTTCTTTTTCTTTTTTTTTTTGAGATGGAGTCTCGCTCTGTTGCCCAGGCTTGGGTGCAATGGCACAATCTCGGCTCACTGCAACCTCCACCTCCTGGGTTGAAGCGATTCTCCTGCCTCAGCTTCTGGAGTAGCTGGGATTACAGGGGTGTGCCATCATGCCTGGCTAGTTTTTGTGTTTTTGTGGAGAAGGGGTTTCACCATGTTCATCAGGCTGGTCTCTAACTCCTGACCTCGGGTGATCCACCCTCCTTGGCCTCCAAAAGTGCTGGGATTATAGATGTGAGCCAATGCACCCAGCACAAACTCATAATTTCAAATTGGGCTAAGTGAAGGGCTAAGTCAACAAAAGATAAGAATGGAAGACAGAGGTCCTGGGTTTTATTATTATTATTATTTCTGATAATAGTGGTGAAAATATACACAACAGGCTGGGCACAGTGGCTCACGCCTGTAATCCCAGCACTTTGGGAGGCTGAGTCTGGTGGATCACCTGAGGTCAGGAGTTGGAGACCAGCCTGGCCAACATGGTGAAACCCCATCTCTACTAAAAATACGGACATTAGCCAGGCGTGGTGGCGAGCGCCTGCATTCCCAGCTATTCGGAAAGCTGAGGCAGGAAGATTGCTGGAACCCAGGAGGCAGAGGTTGTAAAGAGCTGAGATTGTGCCACTGCACTCCAGCCTGGGTGACAGAGCAACACTCAAACAAACAAACCATACAACATACAATTTACGATCTTTCCAAAGTTTCTGTGGGCACAGGGTTTTACTCTTACTCCTGTCACCAGGCTGCAGTGCAGTGGGACAATCACAGCTCACTGCAGCCTCGACATCCCAGGCTCAGGTGATCCTCCCACCTCAGCCTCCCAAGTAACTGGGACTACAGGCACGCACCGCCACAGCCAGCAAATGTTTTTATATATTTTTAGTAAACACGGGGTTTTACCATGTTGCCCAAGCTGGTCTCAAACTCCTGGGTTCAAGAGCTCCACCTCCCTCGGCCTCCCAAAGTGCTGGGATTACAGGCGCAAGTCACCATGCATGGCCCAAATCTATGATGTTAACCATATTTAACTGTACAGTTCAGTGGCATTAAGTATGTTCCCATGGTGCTATCCTGGCTACCATTCACCTCCAGAGGGGGGTCTAGATTTTTTTTTTTTGGAGGTTTGCTCTTGTTGCCCAGGCTGGAGTGCCGTGGCACAATCTCAGCTCACCACAACCTCTGCCTCCAGGGTTCAAGTGATTCTCCTGCCTCAGCCTCCCAAGTAGCTGGGATTACAGGCACGCGCCACCACGCCCGGCTAATATTTTGTATTTTTAGTAGAGATGGTGTTTCACGTTGTTGGCCAGGATGGTCTCGATCTCTTGACCTTGTGATCTGCCTGCTTTGGCCTCCCAAAGTGCCGGGATTACAGGCATGAGCCACCGCACCTGGCCTTAAGTTTTTTTTTTTTTTTTTTTTTTTAACAAAAGTTTATTCTTAAATGTACAATACCTCCAAGACGATTCCAGCTATCGGTGGCAAAAGATGTTGTGGCAGGGAACACAGATGTTTACAGATGAAATAAAGGGTCACCGTCTCCTCAGGCACAGGAACGACTTACTTTTTGCCAGATCTCTTAATTCCACCTGTGGCCAAGGGCCCCTTCCCCACGGTCTTCGATTTTAGATCCTCGAGTTTCTTCTGCTCCTCTTTTTGTTTCTGTTTGAAAGCCTTATCTCCTCGTCCATCTCCCTGGCTGTTTCTTGCCTGCCGCCTCTTCCCCCTAATTTTGTATTTTTAGTAGAGATGGGGGTTTCTCCATGTTGGTCAGGCTGGTCTCGAACCCCTGACCTCAGGTGATCCACCCGCCTTGGCCTCCCAAAGTGCTAGGATTACAGGTGTGAGCCACTGCACCTGGCAGGGGCCTAGTTTTAATTGGTGCAGGGAGGGGGAGTCAGAGAAGGTCCCTCTTTCTATTTTTATTTTAGTTTTATTGATTTATGTATTGATTTATTTATTTAGAGAAGAGGTCTTGCTCTGTCACCCAGGCTGGAGTTCAGTGGTGCGATCATAGTTCCCCGCAACCTCAAACTCCTGGCCTCAAGCCATTTCCCTCCTCGGCCTCCCCAGTAGCTGGAACTACAGCCATGCGCCACCATGACCAGCTAATTTTAAAAAATTTCCTGTAGTGGTAGCTCATGTCTGTAATCCCAGCAACTTGGGAGGCTGAGGCGGGAGGATGGCTTGAGCCCAGGAGTTGGAGACTAGCCCGGGCAACATAGTGAGACCCATCTCTCTAAA